GGAGGGGACGCGGGGCGCGGCGCGGCGGCGGCGGGAAGTTAGTGGCCAGGGACCTAGAAGTGGCGCCGCGGCGGGATCCTGGGCCCCGGGCTGGGACCGGCGCGGCGCCGGCGAGGGCGGGAGGCCCCCTATTCGCGCGTTCCTCCCAGGCCCCGGCTGAGGGAGGCCTGCGGTGGCCGGGAGGGCAGGGAGGCCGTGGGGAGAGCCTTACGGTCTGTTTCTGTTCCCGTGCCTTACTTCCTCCAGCCGAAACAGCTTCCCGACAAGTGGCAGCACGACCTTTTCGACAGCGGCTTCGGCGGTGGTGCCGGCGTGGAGACGGGTGGGAAGCTGCTGGTGTCAAATCTGGATTTTGGAGTGTCAGACGCCGATATTCAGGTAAGAGGAGACCCTCTTGGGGGGCTCACCACCCTGAGCAGAAGGGATCGTGTTGTTTGGGAGGTGGTCCTGAACCCCGTTCCCGTTCTAGGAGAGTGAACCCTCCCGGCCGCCCCAGGGCCAGCCACTGTGCCCTTGCGCGGGGCTGCAGGACAGACCCGGCCCCAGCGTACCGCAGAGGTGCGCTAGTTAAGAGTCTGCTGGATACTGGACCCCAGCGTGGCCTGAGGAGCTGCTGCTTTTCCTTACTAGGAAGTGTCTGTGAGGGAAAGTCCTCTGCTCAGGCCTCCAGTTCCTAACAGGGACAGAGATGGGTTGGATGTGAGTGGTCCCAGTGTGTTACTGACAGACCTAGGCCGCTTGCTTTTTTAATTTTGTGCTCCTTTTAGTGGATCAGTGGGTGAAAAAAGGTCTCTTCTGTAACTGACAAAGGAGGTGGTACCTGTGGATTTTTCCGGCTCTGTTCGCCTGGAGCCGTGTGTCTTATAAGGATCTTGTACCCTATAGTCTTATAACTCTTTTTCCTACACACACGTTTTGTCAGCGTTGTGATTGTCAAACGCGTCTTTGGTTGAAGCTTTTTTTGTTTGTTTGTTTTTTAATTGAACCCCAGAGGCATTTGAGTTTGTTTTCTGGTTAAGAAACGACTTCTTGGGAATCCGTCTTGGAGATGGTTGGGTCAGGGTGCTGGGCCTTCTTCCTGGGTTCAGTGTCCCAGAGCACAGACATTTGGCTTTGCCTTGGGGGACAGAGCAATACCAATGAGCACTCACAGTGTCTCAACACTTTTTTTAAGGTGGTTTCTGGCATCCCCTGGAAACCGCTTTTGGTGAACTCCACCTCCCGCTGTGCCTGCGGCCGGAATAGCCCCGCACTCTGGGTTCCCTCTCCAACTCCCAGCCTGCCTGAGGTCAGGGCAGTTTCCATGGCAGCGCTTGACTTCAGACTTTGCGGCAGGCTTGAGTAGGAGGAGAGGGAAAGGTGAGCCAGAATCTGCCGGGGGGGCTGGGGTCAGTTCTCCGGAACCAGCGGGCCCTTTGAGCTGGTCTGGTGCATGGGACGGCTTCCCTTGCTCTTGTTCCTGGCCTTTGCTGTTTCTTAGAACAGGCCTTGGGTGTGTTGTACAGTTTCCTTCGTTGAAGAAGACAGTGACTTAGTTTTATGCCCTTTATTAGTGGGCTTTGCAACTTCCTTACCTGTGTCTTGATACAGATGTCAGGTCCCCAGGTTAGCAGGAGCCCTCAGACCCAGGTGTTCTTGGAAGTTGCTGTCCCTCCTGTCCCCTCCCTTCCCTCAGTTCCCATTACCACTGCCCTGCTCCCTTTATATACGTCTGCCTCCAGGGAAACACCCCCAGCAGCTCACACTTGCAGGGACTGTCTCTGGGCTGCCCACCGGAAGGAAAACAGCTTTGTTGCTTTGCTGATAACTCGTGTTTTCAACACCCAGGAACTCTTTGCTGAATTTGGAACGCTGAAGAAGGCAGCTGTGCACTATGATCGCTCTGGCCGGAGTTTAGGTACGGCAGATGTGCATTTTGAGCGGAAGGCAGATGCCTTGAAGGCGATGAAGCAGTACAACGGCGTCCCTCTGGACGGTGAGCAGGGCGGGCTGGGTGGCTGGGGCTTGGCGTCCGTGCAGGAGCATGGCCTGCTCCTCTGGCCGAGGACACCTTGCATTCGGCCCTTTGTCTCTCTCTTCCGTTCTGCCCCCCCTCACGCTGCCCCGCACATCCGGACCAACCTCTTGTGAGCCCCCCTCCTTCAGCTCCTTCCGGAAGATTCACTTCTGTGAAGCCTTCTGAGAACTGCCATAGCACGCCTCTGAGTGCGGGCTGTAGTCGTAAAGACAAGGTACCGCTTCTTCTTCCGTCAGGTCACCTACACCTGTCCACCCATGAGCACCCCTGACATCTGACCAAACAGCCCGCCCAGCCTGGCCGAGAAGGAGTGAGCAGGTGTTCGGTGGGGTTGTCCTCGCCATTCTGTTCTCCCACCAGTATCTCCAGGCCATTTCCCTTGTCAGGGGCATTTAAGACGCACACGGCCCTTTCCAGTGTTTGCATGGAGACAGGGTGTGGTGCCACCTGGGTCGTCTCAGAACCTCTGACCGGAAGATGCCCTCTTGTGCTCTTTGCCACAGGGCGCCCCATGAACATTCAACTCGTTACATCACAGATTGATACACAGCGAAGACCTGTCCAGAGGTGAGCCCCGGGGACATGGGGTTGGCCTATGGTTTAGTGCATCATCCTCGCCCTTTACACATGTGTGAACGAGTTCTGTCTTTCTTGCCAGTGTAAACAGGGGTGGCATGACTAGAAACCGTGGCTCCGGAGGTTTTGGTGGTGGTGGCGGCACCCGGAGAGGGACCCGTGGAGGCAGCCGGGGTAGAGGCCGAGGCACTGGCAGGAATTCAAAGCAGCAGCTTTCTGCAGAGGAGTTGGATGCCCAGCTGGATGCCTACAATGCCAGAGTGAGTGCCACAGTGGCACCGTCGTGGGGCTGCCCAGCTGGGGACCCATCAATGCCAGGGTGGGGGAGCTGGAGCTCCTTTAGTGAGAATCTCTTTCCTCTGTTGCAGATGGACACCAGTTAAACAGACCAGCAAATCCGTGCATGGAACAGGACCCAGATTTCTCGTCTGTGCTCCCTGGTGGGAGGAAGGGCGACTGGGCTGTGCGGCCAATGATGGATTTGTTTCTTTTATGTTTTAAAATAGGATTTAAAAACTCATGTAAAGTTTTTTCTTTTTTTTTTTCTTTTTTTTTTTTTTTTTAATTCTGGAACAGACCTGTTTTGTACTGAGTTATTTTTGGGATAAATTTTACTGGTTGCTGTTGTGGAGGGGGTGGCATTTCCACCTCTTCCATAATAAAATAGAAACGTGTGTAGACCTGGAGCTGTGTGATTTCGTCCTGCTGTCGCAGCCCTTGCCTGGGCCAGAGCCCTGGAGTCTGCCCTGGGCGGAAGAGGAGGGGCTGTCGGGAGCAGCCCATCTGTGGCACCTGGCCCGGGGTCAGCGTTGCTACTCCTGGAGGAGCGCGGCTGCCCGTGTTCCTGTCTCCGTTCCCACCGCTCCCGACTCCTTACTCTCTGACTCGATAGGTGGGAGGACACCAGAGCAGTAGTGGCCCTTGGCTTGGAGCTGACTGTTCCCTTGGTGCCTGCACCACAAGGTGAGGGGATGGGGAGGGCCGGGCCACCCTGGGTGGGGTCCGAAGATTCCTCACGATGGGAAGATCTCCAGGCTGTTCCTTGTCCTCACACTCTGGTTCTCAGAGAAACCTGGATCCTGCAGGTCTGACTTTGTAGTACAGTTCGTTCCTGCGTCGCCAAGTAGTGCTGTCTTCTTGATTGTACATTTGTAAAATAGTTGGTGGAGGCTGTGGCAGAATCTCTTGTCCGTTCAAGAGCAGGGCAAGGAGGCTAAGCCTTGTGCCATCTGATGCTGGGTTGCTGACAGCATTTTGAGGATGGAGGTGGCAGGGAGAGCTGAGCTCCAGAGTCTTGGAGAGGACTAAAGGTGGGGTGACTGTGGTGCAAGTCGTTACGCTGTGGGAGCCTCCCTGCAGGGTGGGCTCTTCCACGCTTGAGGCGAACCTGCCTGCGTCACGCAGATGGAGTGTGACTAAGGGAGGCCGTTGAGCTGTGAGTGACAGAGACGCTACTTCCCATCAGCAGCCGCCACTTGAGCAGGCTGCTGCATGCCAGCCACAGGCTGGCAACACAGATGCACAGGATGACTAATCTTTGCCCTCCAAGGAGCCCAGGCTGTCGGGGGCAGGATTATCAGGTACCCGGCTCTATTGCCGTGGCTGTGAGAGGGAAAAGCTGGCTCATCTGGTCGGAGGCAGGCTGTCCCTGAGGAGGTATCCTCGGGCTGGCCCTCAAGTGTTGGGGCAAGACCTGGACAGGCATATGTCCAGCAGAGAGATTGCTTGCTTGCTTTTTTTTTTTTATTTAAAAAAAAACCCGGCTCTATTGCCGTGGCTGTGAGAGGGAAAAGCTGGCTCATCTGGTCGGAGGCAGGCTGTCCCTGAGGAGGTATCCTCGGGCTGGCCCTCAGGTGTTGGGGCAAGACCTGGACAGGCATATGTCCAGCAGAGAGATTGCTTGCTTGCTTTTTTTTTTTTATTTAAAAAAAAAAAATGTGACCGGTAACGGGATCGCAACCCCTGGTGTCGCGCCCGTACCAGGGCCAGCAACAGGATCGCAACCCTCGGTGTCATGCCCGCACCGCGCTCAACCAGTGAGCAGACTGGTCTCCATATGGGATCCGAACCCTCGGCGGGAATGCCGCCGTGCTCCCAAGCGCCGCACTCTACCGAGTGCGCCACCGGGCCGGCCCCAGAGGATCTTAACCCTTGGCTTGGTGTTGTCAGCACCATGCTCTCCCAGTGAGCTATCTGGCCATCTCTATATAGGATCCGAACCTGCAGCCTCAGTGTTATCAGCACCACACTCTCCCAAGTGGGAGTCTAAAAAGTGGGAGAGAAAACCTGATGGCCAGTGAGATTGGCCCAGGCAAAAGGCACTAAATGCCGGGACTGACCAGCACTGCTGGTTTGGCAGAAAGGTGATGGCTTAACAGGCTTTTGGAGGGAGGAATGACCAAGATTTGGAGGCCTTTTGGCATTCTCGGAAAGGAGGGGCATGGGGGGCTGGGTGGGTGGACGTCAGTGCAGAGAAAGTCCCAGGGAGAAGCAGGCTGAGGGGACGGGCCGTGACTGTAGGCCTGCACAAGAGCGTTGCTTTGAGCTGAACGTCTCCAGTCTGGCAGTTGGCACCTGGACACTCTGAAAGTAGGTGATGTGGCTCAGGGAGGGCTGGAGGTAGCAGGAGAAGTGGGGAGGGTGACATCTGGGAGTGCAGGCTGGTGCTGGGGGACCCGTGGAGGGCTATCAATGCAGGCACTGCCCACAGAGGAGGATGGTGGTGACTGCTCCCCCGGGGTGGGGGGAGCTTGGGTCTGGATGCCGCCTGGACTTGGGGGCGGTAGGTAGCAGAGCTGGGCCAAGCCTCTTAATCGCATTAAGCCTTTGCTTCCTTATTTGTGAGACAAGGGAAACCTCATTTTACTGTAAGGGGCAGAGGACCCTGTAAATCAAGGGCGCCTTGGGCAAGCCAGGCCGTCTGGTCACCTTCCAAAGGGCAGGCCAGGGCTTCTGACCAGGGAATAGGGACCCTGTGCCCAGCACTCTGCCTTCTTATGCAATAGGGATTGACTGAGTGACAGGGTGAGGTAATACGTAGTGGTTTGCACATTTCTCTCCTTCACATCCTTTGCTCAGACCATGAGCTGTAGGCAGCTGATCTCTCCATAGCCGAGCCCATGGGACCAGCCACCAGCCCCCCAGGCACAGGGACACTAACTCCCTCCTGTAGCCCGTGGTTCCCTGAGAAAGCACATGAATTGGCCAGAAGTGGACACATGACTCAAGCTGGGCCTTCAGATGTGTTGAGGGAAGAAACCCCATTCTTGTCCTCTCCTCTGGCCCGGGCTCGGATCGAGAGTAGGAACCTGCCGGCTCGAGGGAGGCGAGGCAGAGCCCACCGGAGTTGCAGCTCCTCCCAGGGCTGGCTCGTGGCCTGCCTGGCCCTGCCTTCAGCTGGAAGCGTGGGAGAGGAGCCGGGAGCAGCTGGACTTGGAAGGAGCAGTCCTCTTCCTTTTGCAGGTAGAAGCCTGTGGACACGGGCAAAGGTGCGGGGTTTACTGATGGCGTTGTGGCCTTCAAACATCCTTTGTCCCACTAGGCTGCCATGTCTGTACCTGGCAACACGGTGGTCACATACATGAGAAAGTTTTTGTTCTTGCCTTTGGCAAGCGGATAATCGAGTGTAGGAAACATAAAACGAGAAACTGTGCGACAGTGTAATGAAGGCAAGAGAGCGTGGGCTGCGGCGGGGACTCTCACCCACGTCGGGGCTGCACAGGCAGCCAGCAGATGTCTTTCAAGGTCCTCTGCCTCGTACTCCACTGGGTGTTCTCTGTAGATCTCATTTATTCTCCCAAGAATCTAGAAACGTCATTTTTTCATTTTAGAGTTTGAAGAAAATGAAGCTTATTTACTTACCCAACACAGTGAGCACCTCCCACATGCCAGGGGCTGTTTTCAGGTGTCAGGGAAAGTAGCAGCGAGCAAATCGCGAAGTGTCTGCCCTTGTGGGCTGTACATTCTTTTTTTTTTTCCTTTTTGTCTTTTTTCGTGACCGGTAACGGGATCGCAACCCTTGGTGTCGCACCCGTACCGCGACCAGCAACAGGATCGCAACCCTTGGTGTCGCGCCCGCACTGCGCTCAACCAGTGAGCAGACCAGTCTCTATATGGGATCCGAACCCTCGGCGGGAGCGCCGCCACACACACTCTACCGAGTGCGCCACCGGGCCGGCTCTGTGGGCTGTACATTCTAACGGAGGAAAAATGGGAAAGAGTGAAACACGGGGTGTCAGATGGTGATGAGGCCATGGAGTAAAATAAACCAGGGAGTGGTGAGGTGGGCATGGGGTCCTGGCTGGCCTAGGTCTGCCTGGTGGAAGTGTGAGCTGTGCGGATACTTTTGGGAAAGCTTTACCTGCAGAGAGAATGGCAAGCACAAAGGTGCTAGGGCGGGAACGTGCGTGGAAAGTTCAGGAATAAGCCAGGGCCCCACCGTGGCTGGGTGGAGGGCAGATGACCCAGGGCGTCAGAGTCTGGCCCGGTGGGGGGGGAGTCGGCCAAGTGGGGAGGGTGGAGCTGGCCCAGCACGCTGGGATTCTGTGTGGATGACATCTGTACACAGTGGCCAAAAAGGCAGAGACCACGGAAGAGACTTTTGTTATTGAACATGAAGTGCTTTTTAAAAAACTAGTTTTGTGGTTTTTGTTTTTTGGTTTTGGCAGCTGGCTGGTATGGGGATCCGAACCCTTGACCTTGGTATTATAACACTGCGCTCTAACCAACTGAGCTGACCAGCCAGCCCTAAAAAACTAGTTTTTTAATTGAAAAAGTAACAGGACAAAAGGGAGGTGGTACAAACCCAATCTCCATCCCAGTCCTCTCGAGAGGACTGTCCCTCGCTCACTTGGAGAGCGTGGAGCCTGTGGCTCACGCGGAGAGCGTGGTGCTGACAACACCAAGTCAAGTGTTAAGGTCCCCTTACCGGTCACCTTTTTAAAAAAAAACAACATAAAAATAGAACTGTATGAGGTTAACCTTGTTAAACGTGCTGGATGCCTGTGCTCCAGTTTTACAAAGATTAGGATCACATCACATCTCTCTTTATATTGCCTTGTGTTAAATTTTATTTGTCTCGGTCAAGGGTTCAGGTCCCCTTACAGGCAAGCGCCAAAGCTGGAAAAAAGAAACACTTGTCTCAGAAATGATACAATGTTCTTCCTGAAAACGACATGGCTAGTGTCCCTTCAACATTTCTATCAATGTCAGCCTAGTTCTCTATTACCTGTGAGTGTGTGAAGTGTTGTCTTGTAATTTTGATGTCTAGATTGAAAGAAATGAACACAGCACAAAGAATTCCTGTGTCCAGACTCCCCAGAGGCTGATGTTTTACCCCATTCTCGCTTTTGTTCTCTAATTTTTCTGAACTGATTGAGAGTCAGTTACACACATGCCATTTCACCCCTAAACCCTTCAGTGTGTATTTCTTTGAGGACATTCTCTTACATAATGAGACGCTAACATCAATACAGTGCCACTATCCAACCTACCCACCCTACTCAAATCTAGCCAGTTGTCCCCTAACAGCCTGCGTTTTCCTGGTGCACATCTGCCACATGTGACTGTCCTGTTTCTTCAGTCCTCTACATTGTAGTGCTCTAGCCTTTCTTTGCATGACATTGACACTTGAAGGGCAGTGTCCAGCTGTTTTGTAAAACGTCCCCCATTGGGCATTGTCTCACCT